CAAAAAACAATCTTTATCTATAATTTATAGATATAAATAATTACAATTAAAAATTATAATTAATTATAATTATAATTAATAAACAAATAAAAAAGAATTATAATTAATAAATATAGTATAAATAACAAAACGAATTGAACTTACTAAAAAAACCATCAGCTTTTCTTAACTGCTCTAAAAAAGAAAACAATACTTGCTTAAAATGTTCTAAAAAGACTAACGACAAAATGAAACAGTTAACTGAAAAGGGAACATTTTACTAAAAAAACTATTTTACCAAACATTTTAGTTCTAACTTCTTCTAAAAAATAAAAACAGACTATAAAAATTAGGAAATATAAAAATAAGCAACAACAAACTAACAATTAAATTTTTATTTTAAAAAATAAACATTAATTCTTTTTGAAAATAAGTGCATCAGCTCCAATTTGCTTGCTGATTTTACTCGAAAGACCACTTGAAATATATAACTGCGCTTAGAAAAGTCTAGAAACAACTTCAAAGCAAAAGAAATACTGTATTTTACATAATGCATAACCAAAATTAACAAAACAAACAACAGCCGTAATAATTTTTTTTTTTTTTTTTTTTTTTTTTTTAATTTTACATTTGTTGGTCGTATTACAACTATATATTGCCAAAAAAAATAAAATAAAAATAATGATGATAATAATTAACTTTCACAAATATAAAATAAGGTATCTGAAAGAAGATCAAAGGATCTTGTCGTCAGAACCTTAAATAAGTTCAAACAAGCATTAACAGTATCAAATTTTTACAAATTTCATATATATATAATCCAAATATATATTTTATAATCCAAAGAGAGATCACGCGGATCTACTCACTAATATTTTATATAAACGTATACGTGAAGTAAAGAATATAAAATCAGCAAAATAAGTAAGAATAAACTTTTTACAAATATAAATAAGAAAAGGCAAAGTTATTAATTTATATTATTAATAATAACATAATACGTCTTCTAATGAAAAAATTAGGGTTTTTAATTTACTTTTAAAAAAACGAAAAGTAATGGGTAGTTCGAAATCAAAATTGGGCAAAACAATTTTATTCCAAAGGTGTGGTGCCCGATAGACAATACAAAATTGATTAAAGTTCGTTTGACAGAAAGGTTCATTTAAAAAATCAGTATTTCTCAAATTGTATTTGTTGATGGGTTTCGGAGTAAAAATATCTTTGAAGACAGATTGAGACAAGTCATTTTTCCACATGTATACAAAGCATAAAACATTATATATATTTAGCTCGTATATATTTAAAATTCTCATTTCAATAAAATAATGTTTTGCGTGAGAAAAACGATTTGCAAAGCAGATTAAACGGATAGCATGTTCTGACGGCGATAAAGACGTTGCAACTTACTTTTTTCTGTACTACCCCAGGCGATATTAGCATAATTTAAATAACTGTGTATAAATGAATAATAAAGTTTGATTAAAATTTTCTTATTAAGGTAGATTCGTGCTTTATATAAAACTCCTATGTTTTTTGAAATTTTAGTGCTTATGTAGTCGATATGATGATTCCAAGTGATGTTTTCATCAAGGTAAACACCTAAAAATTTTGTTACGGAATCCCTTTTTATTTCATTTTGATCAATAAAAATTTTAGGTAAGTTTAATGGCAAATATCGTTTTTTGGAAAGCGAATGGAATAAGGTCCACTTTGTTTTATTAGAATTTAGAGTTAACTTATTACATTTAAACCAACTCGATACATGTATAAGCTCTTTGTTCATTGTTTTAAAAAGTTCAAAGATATCACTGTTAGAAAGAAATAAGTTAGTATCATCTGCAAACATAATACTTGTTAGTTTAGAGGCTTTATTTAAATCATTAATATAAATTAGGAAAAGGAGTGGACCAAGAATTGAGCCTTGTGGGACTCCACATGTTATAGAAAGACAATTGGTATGATAACCGTCATTACTCGGAACAAATTGTTTACGACTTGACAAATAGCTTTCAAACCATTTTAAAACTTTATTTTTTATTCCATAGTGTTTAAGTTTATAGATTAGAATTTGGTGATCAACCGTATCAAAAGCTTTTGATAGATCAATAAAAAGTCCTAGAGTATATTGTGATTTTTCAAATGATTTTGAGATTTCCCGTACAAATTGGATAATTGCATGTTCAGTTGAGCTATCCTTTTTAAAACCGAATTGATTAATGTTAAGTAATTTATTAACATGAAAATATTTGTATACTCTGTTATATATAATTCTTTCTAAAATTTTTGAAAAGGAGGAAAGAACAGAAATAGGGCGATAATTACTTATAATTGATTTGTCCCCTTCTTTAAAAATAGGAATAATTTTGGCAATTTTTAACAGTTCGGGGAAAACACCTTAATGGATAGAAGCTTTAAAAACTTTAAAAAGAACAACTTTTAGCTGTTCAAAACAATCTATAATAACGTTTCCATTTATTTGATCTGCTCCAACTGCTTTATTTTTTTTTAAAGATTTGAAGGCTCTTTCAAACTCTTCAAACAACAATTCAGAAGACAACTCAACTGAACCAATGCAATTATCAATGGGTACTAGAAAATCAGTAAATAAAGATTTAGTGTTTGGGATTTTTTTAGAAAGTGTTGGACCTATATCGATAAAAAATTTGTTAAATTCTTGAGCTATAGTTCTTGGTTCGTATAAACTTTTGTTATCGACTCTAACCATTTGTGGCAGAAAACCTGAGCATGATTTTTGTTTTCCAATAATTTCATTCATTATTTGCCATGTGCGTTTTGTGTCATTTTTAAATGTATTGAGTAATTGGGAGTAATAATTTTTTTTTAGATTTTTGCGAATTTTTTCAAATAGGTTTTTGTAGTCCTTGTAAATTTTTTCGTTTTTAGGTGTTTTTGTTTTCAAAAAATTTATATATAGTTTTTGCTTAATTTTGGACGATTTTTTAAAGCCCTTAGTGATCCAGGGTGTATTTAAGCTCTTAGTAGTTATTTTATTTTCAATGATTGGGAAGTTAGCATCGTATACAGAAAAAAATGTTTTGAAAAAAGACTCATAGATATTGTTAGCATTATCATTAAAATTTATGTTATTCCAGTGTAGTAATGAAAGTTGATTTTTGAATAAATTAAGGTTAGCCTCATTATAAATGCGTTTTCTAATTACTCTTTGTGCGGTTAAAGTTTTTTCAGAGTTTGTATTATCTAATTTTAGGAATATAGGGAAATGATCTGATATATCGGTTCGCAAAATACCTACTTTTAAATCATTGTTGAAAATATCTGAAGTTATTATATTATCTATTAGAGTTGCTGAATTTGTCGTTACTCTTGTAGGTTTGTTTATTAAAGATACTGATCCCGTTTCAAAAATTTCATCATAAAAATTTTTAACTTTAAGGTTATCATTATAAAGAAAACAATTCATGTTTAAATCTCCAATTATAAAATTTTGTTTTTTTTCAACGGTACCTTTTTTAATAATTTGTTGTAAAAACATGCTAAAGTTTTCGCTTACGCCATCGGGTGGCCGATAACAACAGCTTAGTAAAATTTTTTTTTTGTTGCAGTTAGTAATTTCTATAGTTGCAATTTCTTTATCGCAGTCAGAAACGCTCAAATCATGCCTAATACAATGCTCAAAATTTTCGTGAACATAAATTAAAACTCCACCACCGCGCTTATTTGTTTTCCTTTCCATTAAAAATGTATTAAAATGAGGTAGATGAAAATTATTTAGGTCTTCTAAAGAAATCCAAGTTTCTGTTAAACAAATTATATTAAAAACATGTTTAGTTTCTTCTAATAAGTCTAAAAGTTTTTCAAAATTGCTATTTAAGCTTCTTATATTGAGGTGGAGAATTAACATTTGATTATTATTTCTTTCATTCTCATTCTTAAAAAGAAACCCTTCTAGTTGGCTAGGAAAGTAATATGAACAATCTGAAAATTTATTGTGATAAATATTGTAATCAGAGTCTAAATTTTCATTTAACGTAGAGTAATTTGTTTTTTGAATTTTAAAAACACGAGATTCAAAGTTTTCATTTGTAGCCATGATTAATATATTTTATTTAAGATTTCTTTTTAGGAATGCCCATAAAATTATTGGTTAAAATTGTTTTTAAAAGAAGTTTTAATATAAACAATTTTGTCATACCTTACCGTAACACTTTCACCATTCAATCGCCTTTCTTTCACTTCAGCGAATAATTTTTTTCGAATAGCGACGGTTTCTCGAGAAAAATCTCGAACTTTTTTTCGAGAAATTCACGAACGTATTTGTGCCTTTGAGTCGATACAATTCCTTCAATATTCTTATTTTGTCTTTATATTTCTGAAGATTTAATATTATAGTCCTTGGTCGTCCATCGTTTTTTCGTCCAGTGCGGTGAGCTCTTTCAATTTCAACATCTTTTAGTCCAAGTTTTTCGGTGAAGAATGTTTGGACTTTTTTTTCTGTATCCCCCCATGATTCTTTATCATTCTCGTAAATTCCTTCAATCCTAAGATTGTTTCGGCGCGATCGATCTTCTAAGTTTCGTTGTTTTTCTTTTAATACATTATCTATTTTTGTATGTTCCATTTTTTTATCTAGATATTTGTTGTTAGTAACTATTTTTTCGTCAATAAGTCCTTCATTAAAATTAAGGCTTACCTTTATATCTTCTAATTCTTTTGTTAATTTCTTTATACAATTTGCATTTCCATCAACATTTTTCTCTACTTTTTCAAATCTATCGTTTATTATTTTGATGTTAGCCCCAATAATATCGAGAACTGCTTTTTCTTGCTTTTGAAACATTTCTTCCGTTTCCTTTTTAAATTCTTTGAACATTTCTTTTAAAAGTTTCTTTATTTCTGGAAGTGTTACAGCCATATTATTAAGTTAAAATTTTTATTAAAGATACGTCTTTATTTATAATAAATAAAAAGTTTTTTTTTTTTTTTTCGCCACGAGATAAAAAGTGCGTCCGTTCTTGTTGAAAGCTTGAGTTGAAAACTTAATGCGTAACTATGCGCACTAATAATAATAATAGCAATAATAGCAATAATAATTATAATAATATTCATTCGGCTAGTCATTATAGAAATAAATAAATAACCTAACATTAGAGTGAATTTAACTTAAGGCTAATAGTAATTTATTTAAACATAATAATAAAGTATATTTAATTTAAATGTAATATTAAAGTATATTTAATTTAAACCTAATACTAAAGTATACTTAATTTAAATGTAGTAGAAAAGTATATTTAGTTTTTACCTAATAGTAGTTTTATTTTAACATAATATTAAAGCATATTTAATTTAAAACTAATAGTACAGTTTTAACTTTATAATTTGCAATTTATTTATTTCAACCTAAAATTGCATATTTTATATTAGCTTTTATAGATAAATTAAAATTATTGTATAAATATCTGTTAGCAACAAAATTTTTAGACAATGAAAGATTGGTTACATGCACATTTCTTTGAAATTCATAAAAAAAGCTTTTTTTTACAGAAATATCTAATGTCTTTTTTGCATAATTTGAGTTTAAAGTTTCATTTGTTTTCTTATATTGTTTTGTTAAATTTATTTATTTTTTGACAAAGGAAGCTAGTAGATGTTTCCTTTTGTACTTTTTTTTTCATAAATTAATGCTCATTAAGAGAATATAGTGTTTTATCTTTATTATTATAGTAATTTAAAACATTAATAACATCATTTAAACTTTGTTCTTTTTGTAGTCCTTTTAGATGCATGTTTGCCATTGGATGCATGTCCTGATAGTAGTGAATGTGTAATAAATCGAAACAATATAAAAGTATGCATATGTCCAGATAAATTTATTTATGATGGCAGATCATGCAGTAAGTTAAAAAAATGAATGCAATTATTTTTCTCATAATGTGTGTTTAACGCAGCTATATGCATATGTATTTTTATGTGAACTCTTTTCTAGCAGTTATAGAATTGGTTTGCAGTTTTTTTTCTTCTATAGAAATCTTTACATATTGATACATTTTGATAGTAATTGCAAGCTTTTTTTTTTTTTAATAATATGGAGTTTTTTTTTTAATGTCTTAAAAATTATATTAGTTAAGTATTAGTTTACATATTTGAGTGGCATGGTTTTTTCAATTATAAGTTATTTTTTCATTATTTTTTATCAAAAGATATACTTACAGAAATCTTTTTTTGTATCCCCTAATCTATCCCCTAAAAAAACATACTGTGATTAGCTTATCGACTGTTGCATAATAGTTAAATGTGTCACCTAAAATATATTATAAATAACTGTTTGCAATGTTATTGTTTGACAATTATATATAGGTTACGACCACATTTTCTTTTAATAAATGTATATTTTGAAAATGTAAAGTTTTTTATTAAATATTATTTGTTTTAGTTTTTACTAGTGTTCATATGTTCTTTAATTAAATATTTCTTTCATTAAAGAAAGCTAATATTTGTTTATACATTTTTTTTAAAACTATAGTTAAATAAAATAGTTGTAAAAAGTTTTATTGCGTATTATAGTGTTATAAACGTTCATAACATTATTATTCCTTTTTTTTTTTTATATTAGTTGAAGATCCTTGTGCGAAACCAGATTTATGTCCAGCTGAAAGTAAATGTGTAATTACTCTACTAAAGACTGCAGCATGTCTATGCCCAGATAAATATGTGTATGATGGCAAATCATGCAGTAAGTTATAAAAAATGACTACAATTACTTACCTAATAAAAAGTGTGTTAGACACAGCTATATGCATTTTACGTGAGAGTTGCTTTAATTATTTTCTAGCAGATAAAAAATTGTTTTGTTGTGATCTTATTTACTAGAAATCTTTACATAATAACTGTATTATCTTCAAGCTTTTTTATTTTACCTAAATGAACTTTTTTTTTACTGTCTCTAAAACGTTAGTATTTTGGGTAAAAGTTTACATATTTAAATGGTATCGTTATTTTCATAATTTTCTTTTTCTTTTGTAAAAGATAAATTAGTTTTTGAAATTCTTAGTTTTTGTAAAAATTTTCACAAAAAAGACAAATATCATGCTGTGATTGGCTTTTATACCGATGCATGATGATTGAATGGGTCACTCAAAAGATGCTTAAGTTTTAAAAATCAACAATTATTTCAAATAAATGCTCAAATTTTTTTTTACTTGATATAAATAAAAATTTTATTAAAAGGTTATTTTTAACAGAAACTTCATAAAAGACATTTTATCAAAGTCAATAAAACCTCCTTTCAGTGTCATAGTTATTTTAATAAATGTTAAATTAGTTATCATTGTTTATGTTCGATTTTTTCTTTTTTAATATTTACTATTTTAATGCTATACAGATTAAAAGTAATATTTTTTTTTATAGTATTATTAGAGAATCTCAATTCTCCTGTTACTACTGGTAAGCTTAACAGTTTTTAAGATGATTTGGTTTTTTCATTTAACAAATTAGATCTTATCAGGTCCATATATAAGCTTTTTTTTAACAAAGTTTTAAACTTTATGTTTTTAAATTTTCTTATTTCAACCTGAGTTTGTATACTTTCTGTTAGATTTAATAGACAAAATAAAAATTATTGTATAAATATCTGTTTGGAAACCAATTTTTAGACAATGAAATATGGTTTGCAAGCACATTTCCTTGTAATTGTTGCATAGATAACATTTTTTTTCGAAATAGCTAATATTTTGTGTGCATAATTTGAGTTTAATGATTTATTAGTTTTCTTTTATTGTTTTGTTTAATTTTTTTACCTTGAAAGAAAGTAGTATTTGTATTCCTCTCTACTTTTTTTCTTTTCCTTTTTATTTAATCAATGTTAAAAATAGAGAATTTTACTGTCTTTTATTGTTTGTTATAGTAATTTAAAACATTGATAAAAGTGTTTAACCTTTTTTTCTTTTAATAATGGTTTTAGATGCATGTGGGCAACCGGATCCATGTCCTCAAGAATTTGATTATGAATGTATGATAGGTCCAAACAATACTGCGACATGCTTTTGTCCAACTAATTTTGTTTTTTACGGCGGATCATGCAGTAAGTTAAAAAAAATGTAAACAAATAATTATCTTATAATGTGTGATTGGCGCAGCTGTATGCATCTGTTTCTTCATGAGAGTTGTTTGAATTATTTTCTAGCAGTTAAAGAGTTATTTTATAGTATTCTTTTTTATAGTAATTTCCTAGAAATCTGTACCTAATAACCCAGGCTTTGCAATAAAGCATCGGACGATGTGAATTTTACGTCGTCCAAGAGCGATTTCGCGTGTAGCTAGGGCTATTTGCGTAGAACAAAGAATTTTTTGTTTGAGTGTATTTAAAGTTTTTTTTGGGCTGAATTTTAATGAAGTAATTTACGATTATTTTTACATTTAGTAAAGTATTTTCAAAACCGCACGCAGTTGATATAAAGTTTGAATTACAAAAAAATTTAATATGCTCATTGTTTACAAGTAGAAATAATTCAGATAAAAAAAAGTTTAAATCTATTTAAGCTAACATTTTAATAAAATTATTCAGAAATAGCAAAGTTGTCGATAAAATTGAACAAAATTACTTTCTTTTAGTTTTAGATTTTTATTTTACAAGGGTTTATTAGGGTTTATTAAAATTATTTTATAGATTTAAAAATTTTTATTAACTGTTAGACGCATTTAAAGTGTTTATTAGTAATTTTGAGGAAACATTTAAAAATTGGTAAGCGCAAATAAAAAAAATTAAAGGAATAATATTAAAACTTATTCAACTTTCGGATTCAATAAAAAAGTAAAGTCATTAAAATTTTTGTAAAAAGTAACTCAAAAAAAAAAACTTAAATAATAACTTTGAACAATCGCTTTTTTGTTCAAAGTTATTGAAACTCCTTTACTTATTTTGGTAGAAATAAAATTCCTTGTAAACATAAAAAATTTATTCAAAACGTTCATTAAAGTTAATTAGTAATACGAGTGATTGTGCTTATCAACCGCTTTATGAAAATAAATAAAAACAAATAAATAAAACAATATTATATAAAATCGCTGGTAAAAATATTAGCTATTGCAGAGTTTATAATCGTACAATATTAAAATTTCCAGTTTATTACTCGATGACTTTTTAAAAAGAAAAAATAATTATTTGAAAAACTTTAAATTACATATTTGAGAAAAAAAGATCAAATATTAGCATATTTTATAATCTTTTTTAAATGTTTATTAATGTTTTTTTTTCGTTTAATATAGACAAAACGTGTCAAACGTCGAGAAAATAAACAAATTTTAAAAAACGAAACATTCAAAAACATTTTTTAAATAATAACATTTCTACATTAATGATTTAAAGTAGTTTTGCGGTAAATAAGTAAATTGGTGCAGTTGATGTCAATAAATATGAAAAGCAAATAAAAAGAATTTAATGACGTCAAAAATCACGTCGTGCTTATGTGTCACGCAGTTTTTATTCTTCACAAGGCCTGATAACCCTAATAATAATTATGAACTTTTTTTTAACAAAATAAAGTTTTTTTATTTAATTGTCTTAACAATTATATAAGTTAAATATAAGTTTACATATTTAAATGCCATCGCTTTTTTCCTTAGAAAGTTTTTTTTTAAATGATTTTTTCCATCAAAAGATATAAATTTTAAAAAATCTTAGTATTGTATAATCTATCCACTAAAAAAAACTTTCTGTGGTTGGTTTATCAACTGTTGCAAGATTGTTAAATATGTCACTTAAAATATTGTATAAATATCTGTTTGCAATACACTCTATTGTCAATAATAAATAGGTTCCCAGTGGGCACCCGACGTCAATCCGACGTCGGATTTACGTACGATTTTCATCAGCGATGTCAAAAGACCTATTACGACGTTGTTCCGATGTCAGTAAACTGACGTCGGGCGATGTCTTTATCTCAACATCCCCTGACGTCGTTTCGATGTATTTTGACGTTGTTCCGACATCTTATAAAAGACGTCCAATAAACGTCGCAGTACTGACATCGATCCAACGTCGATAAAAAGACGTCGGACAACGTCATAATATTAACGTACTCCGATGTCTTTTGACGTCTTCCGACGTCAATCCTACGTCCTTAAAACGACGTCGGAACAACGTCGTAAGACATCGCTGATGAAAATTTAATCCAAACCCAACAATATGTGTGCAATTGCGCTCTTCAATAAATATGTGAACTAAGCGTGTTTTTTATTAATGGAAAGAAGTTTGAATAATGGTTGATAAAACATCATGAGGTTTTGTATGATGCACTAGCATAGTTTTTTAACTATTAACATTTTCGAGTATACATTTTTTATAATATATAACTATTCGTTTTAATATTTATATAATATTTAAACAAAATTATTTCTTATCAAAGTAATAATTCCCAAATAGCTACAAGTATAAATTACTAAATAAACTCATTATTTAATATGTTCCTGTGGTGTAGTGGTAAGCGCGTAGGATTTAGTTTCTATTAGACCGAGGTTCGATTCCTACCCTAAGGTAACGCTTTTTAGTTTTCAAAAACACGTTGGATTTACATCGGAATGCCGACGTCGCGCGATGTCAGTTTATCCGACGTCAAATAACATTTCCATTGCCAACGTAAACCCAACGTCGATCCGACGTCGAGATCCGACGTCGCTCGACGTTCGTTCGACGTTGAAATGCCCACTGGGTTACGAGCACATTACTTTTTAATTAATGTATATAAAAGATTTTCTTTTAAAAAACGTTGCATACTTTTAGTTTTAGTTATTGTGTTCATATATTCTGTCGTTACGTATTTCTCTCATTGAAAGAAGCTAATATTTGTTTGTACATTTTTTTTTCAAATATATTTAAATAATATAGTCAGGGCTGTGGAGTCGGAGTCGGAGTTGTGGAGTTGCAACAATTTTAGTGGAGTCCGAGTCGGAGTCTCTAAAAAATGTCGCGACTCGGACTTTGATAGTAATATTTCTTGGTATTGCACGTGCGTGTACAAAACATTTAATTAACCTTATGTTCATACTAAACTTCAGAGAAAATTGCATAAATTTGTCAAAAAAAAAAATTCAACTGATCGCGCAATATTTTATAAAGAATACAAAGTTTTTTTCAAAAATTTTGCTTTGGAGTTGGAGTCGGAATCGGAGTCTGAGTTGGAGTCGGAGTTGTAATCAAAAGCTTTCAACAACTTGAGTCGGAGTCGTTACTTTTTTTTTACAACTCCACACCCCTGAATATAGTTGTAAAGTGTTTTATTGTGTGTTATAGTATTATAAAAGTTTATAACAATGTTAATGCGCTGTTTTTTTTTTATTAGTTGAAGACCCATGTGCGAAACCAGGTGTATGTTCAGCTGATAGTAAATATCAGATTAATCTAGAAAAGAATGCAATATGCAAATGTCGAAGTGGTTATGTTTATAATGACAAATCGTGCAGTAAGTTATAAACAATATTTCTTATCTAATAAAAAGTGTATTTGACAAAGCTCTGTAAATCTGTATTTATCACGAGAGATGGTTTAATTATTTTCTAACAGATTAAAAATTGGTTTGTATTAATCTTTTTTTTTCTAGAAATCTTCACCTCATAACTTTATTATTTACAACTTTTTTTTTTTATCAAAATATTTTTTTTTTATTTGTCTTAACAATTATATTAGTTAATAATTGGTTTAAACATTTGAATAGCATCGTTTTTTCCGTAATAAGTTTTTTTTTTACCATTTTTTATCAAAAGATAAATAAGTTTTAAATTATCTTATAATTTAAGTTTTATTAAATCTATACCCTAAAAAACAAAACACACTGTCATTGGTTATTCAACCTTTTCTAGATGGTTAAATGTTTCACCTAAAATATTGTATAAATCTTTTTTCAGTTTACTTTATTGACAATGGTTTATGGTTATGAGCACATTTCCTTACAATTAATGTATATAAAATATTTTTTTTTAGAATATGTAAAGTTTTTTTTGCATATTTTAAGTTTCAGTTTTTGTTTGTTTTCATATATTCTTTTGTCAAATATTTTTTTGATTAAAGGAAGCTATTATTTGTTTGTACATATTTTTTACTTGTTCATAGTTAAATAATATAGTTGTTAAGTGTTTTATTGTGCATAATAGTATTATAAACGTTCATAACATTTTTAATCTTTTGTATTTTTTTATTAGTTGAAGACCCTTGTGCAAAACCGGATGTATGTCCAGCTGAAACTAAATGTCAGCTTAGTATACGTACAACTGCAGTATGCCTTTGTGCAGATGGAAATGTTTATGATGGCACACCATGCAGTAAGTTATAAAAAATGTCTGCAATTACTTATCTAATAAAAATGTGTTTGACACAGCTATATACATCTGTATTTTTTATGAGAATTGCTTTAATTGTTTTCCAGCAGATAAGGAATTGTTTTGTAGTAATCTTTTTTTACTAAAACACTTTACTTAATAAGTTTAATATTTTCAGATTATTTTTTTATCTAAATAAGGTTTTTTTTTTTTTTTTTTACTGACTCTACAAAATTAGTATTTAAGTAATAGGTTATATATATAAATATATATTTTTCATTTTTAGAAGAAAAATTAAGTTTTAAAAACCTTAGTTTTTGTAAAAAGTTTGCTAAAAAAGACAAATATCGTGCTGAAATTGGTTTAGCTACTGTTGCATGATAATTGAATGTGTCACCCAAATGATGCTTAAGATTTAAAAGTCAATTATTATTTCAAATAATTTCTCAATTTTTTTTTCTTGATTCAAATAACATTATTATATAAAGATTGCTTTTAAAAGAAGTTTTCTAAAGGACAGTGTCAATGTTGATAAAATCTCATGCCAGTGTTAAAGTTATTTAATTAAATGTTAAATTAGTCATCACTGTTAATGTTTAGTTTTTTCTTTCTTTCTTTTTTTAATATTAACTATTTTAATGTTATGCTGATTACTAAGTAATATTTTGTTTATTGTAGAATTAAGGAATCCCAATACTCCAGCTCCTACTGGTAAGCCTAACTGTTTTTAAGTTGGTTTGTTTTTTATTTAATAAATAAGATCTTATCAAGTCCATTATAAGCTTTTTTTTTTTAACAAAAGTTGTAACTTTATGTTTTTAAATTTTCTTATTTCAACCTGAATTTGTATATTTTCTGTTAGATTAAATAGAAAAATGAAAATTATTTTATAAATATCTGTTTGCAACCCAATTTTTAGACAATGAAATATGGGTTACAAGCACATTTCTTTGTAATTGTTGCATAGAAAAAATTTTTTTTAGAAATATCTAATGTTTTTTTTTGCATAATTTGAGTTGATAGATTTGTTAGTTTTTTTATATTGTTTAGTTAAATTTTTTTACATTGAAGGAAACTAGTATTTGTTTTTCTTTGTACATTTTTTGTTTTATTTTTTAATTAATCAATGTTTAAAATAGAGAGCTTTACATTGCTTTATTGTTTATTATAGTAATTTAAGATATTGATAACATTGTTTAACCTTTGTTCTTATATTAATTGTTTTAGATGCATGCATGTCACCGGATGCATGTCCTCAAGATATTGATTGTATAATAGGTCTAAACAATACTGCTATATGCGTATGTCCAGATAATTTTATTTATGATGGCAAATCATGCAGTAAGTTAAAAGAAATAAATGTAAATAGTTATCTTATAATGTTTGACGCAGCTATATGCATCTGTATTTTTATTGAAAGCTTTTTTATTTATTTTCTTGCAGTTAAAGAGTTGTTTTGTAGTAATTTTTTTCTTAATTTTTTTCATAATAACCTTAATATTAATTAGAAGCTTTTTTTTTAACAGTAAAAAATTGTGTTATTAATATTAAGGTTTGCTTTATTTTTTAAATATCTTAACAATTATATCAGTTAATTATTAGCTTAAATGTTTGAATGACTTCGTTTTTTCCATAATAAGTTTTTTTTCCATTTTTTTCTATCAAAAGATAAATTTTTGAAAATCTTAGTTTTATATAATCTACCCCTTATGCGATTGGCTTGTCACCTGTTTTATGATTGTTAAATGTGTCACCTAAAATATATTGTAAATATATGTTTGAAAACAATTTACTTACAATGATATATGGGGTAGGAGCACATTACTTTTTAGTTAATTTATATAAAACATTTTCTTTTAGAAAATGTAAAGTTTTTTTTGCATTTTTTGAGTTTTAATTTTTTTTTGTTTTTATATATTCTTTTTTAAATATTTCTATCATTGAAGAAAGCTAATATTTGTTTGTACATTTTTTATATTTAATCATTTTCAAATATTATAGTTGTAAAGTGTTTTATTGCGTCTTATAGTATTATAAACGTTCATAACAGTATTAATGCTTTTGTTTTTTTATTAGTTAAAGACCCGTGTGCAACACCGGGTGGGTGTCCAGCTGAAAGTAAATGTCAGATTAGTCAACTAAAGACTGCTGAGTGCATTTGTCAAATTGGCTATGTTTATGATGGCAAATCATGCAGTAAGTTATATAAAAATTTATACAAATATAAGCCTTGAATAGAAAAAGTGTGTTTGACGCAGGTATAGGCATCTGTTTTTTTATGAGAGTTTGTTTAATTATTTTTTAGCAATAAATAGGATCCCAAAACTCCGAGTAGTGTTGCGTTCATACTAAAAAAATGATGAAAAAAAATTGTTTTGAATGCTAAATTTTTTGATTAAAACGATATAATAAAGGCATACTTATAAAATCTAACATTTTTATTTAAGTCAAAGCTTATATTTTATATTTTGTTTTAGGCTAATAAGCGGCCTAATATACGTCGAATCCTTCAAACATGATAATTTATCTAGGGGCGTTTTATTCCTAAAAGTTTCAGTCACTGAACAAGCAGTACCACTTATACAAACTAACATGATTAAAAAGGTTTTTAGCAAGCTTTAAAAACACTTTAAAAAAGCTTTAGAAGCGCTTTGTCTTTTTAATTGAAAACTAGTAAATTATTTCTATTAATTCAATTAAATTTTAAAGCTTTAGATTACATCAAGAATTAAAACGTACAGGATGATCATATATATCACTTGCTGTAGTTTTATTAATTAATTACTTCAAAGAAATGCTTAATTATTTTACTCTTAATTCAAATAATATTTTAACGAGAAGGTTGTTTTTTAAAGTTTATTTTTTAAACAACAGCAACAATGTTAATAAAATATCATTTTAGTGTATCTGCTATTTTGATAAATGCAATCTTTTTTATTTATATTTATTCTCAGTTTTGCTTTTTTCTTTAAAGAATTATTTATTATTTTAATGCTATACAGATAATAAAATATTAAATTTTTTTATAGATGAAATCAAGCCTAATGCTATCCCAGCAAACAATAGACGTCTTTTAGACCATCTAAAATTGGTCTAATTTGTATCTATTGCCGATACGTATATTTTAGACGTATATTAGAGATCAAAAAGACGTCTGATTCTAGAGATACTATTTTTGCTCTGTTTTAGATGCATATTAGATGCCTAAAATAGATCGCGTATAAATAATTTTTTTTTCATCTAAACTTAGATGTCTATAAGATGTCTTTTAAAGATTTGTTATAAAAACAAGAAAAAAATTTTAATTAATATTACGGAGCGATAATTATAAATGACCGCCATTTAAAAACCCTGCAGAAACTTATTTCGAAAAAAGCATGTAGATTTTAACCTATGGAAGACCAATGATTATTTCTTTATGATAAATTTTTAATAATAAAATAACATGCTATTATAGTTCACAAAATATTTCGACGATTTGATGCTTAGCATGTTTGCTAAAATTCTTGTGATTTGAAATTTATTTTGCAGAAATATTACGAAATTAATATTTCCAAGTTGATAATTTTATTTCTAGAATAAAAGTATCATACCGCTCTTCATTGCCAGAACCTCCGCCACCTATTATGAATAAGCCCAATGCTAAAAGTATAACACAAATATCATTTTTTTTTCTTAATGGTTTATAAACTGAAATAGATTCTTGTTTAATTTGATCTGAATAATATCTATCTAGCTATTAGTCTTTTTTATGTATTACTAAGATTTTCCTTTTATTTTAACTATTTGGGTGTCCTGTTATTTGTAATGTTGTTAAATTAAATACATATATTTAAATGATTGACAACATTCTATTGTATTAAATAATCCTTTAATCAACTTGATATGAAAATTGAAAATTGATTGAAAGCATGCTGAAATTGTTTAAATTCAGAAATTGAAAAAGTACAAAATTGGTTGAAAGATTGAATTAAGTAACAGGTATGGTTGAGGGATTATTTATAGTTCTAATTATAATTATTTCTTTTGAAGATAATTTTTCTTCACATTTATTGATGAACAGAATAAAACAAAACAAAGTTCACATTGTCAAAGAGTTTCAAGTTTTAATATGAGTATTTTTGGTTTTTACACCACTGAATGTTAATGTTGAGGTCTTTTTTATTAATTTGTTTTTGTATTAAAATAGTTGTATTATTTAATACAAAAAAAGAGAGGTATAAGAGAATAGAAATGGATTATTTATAATATTGTGATCCAATAAATCATGTGTGTAGCATTTTACCTTTAGTAGTTAAACAAAATTCTTTAATATCGTAATCTTTTACAGGATAAAGTTTTAGCTGATTTAAAAAGTAGGTTTTCCAAAATATTATGGCAACTTCTGCGATGGAGTAATTAAAAAACTTACATGTATTTTTGGAATTTTAGTTTGAGTTACTCCAGCATAATTTGAATTTTAAAGTTCTTATTTCATTGTTTTTTCTATTTGGTTTTATGAGCTAAATATGTTAATCAATCTTTTTATTCTTGTTTGTAGAGATGCAAAATGTTATTCTCAACGAGCTTGCAGAAATAAAAGTTCTTTTAAAAGAAGTTATAGAAATTAAGTTTCAGGTTACTGGGGTGAAGTTGCTAGAATCAGTGGACGAAGTGGTTACACTAGATATTAAACTAAAAGATAAAACCGAGTATACTAATTTGGTATAATCTAACTATCTTAATTTTTAATAAGTTTGTTTAAATTTGGTTTACTAGTTTAGAATCTAAATGAAAAGTATTTGTAAATGAACTAAAATAACTAGCTTGTGTTAGACTCAATATGTTGTAAAGAAATTTAAGTTACACTAGTTTTTATTACATTTATTTCAGCTTGATAGTTTGAAAAAGATTGGTGGTGGAAAGCCTAGAGAACATGTTTTTTTGATCATGAAAAGGTAAATGATTATGTTTTTATTAATTATTAGAAATATGATTAAAAGGGACCAAAAGCAATTCATTTTGACCGTTATTTGTTATGGATTTACTTTTAACATGACAATTAGATAAACTCGGTAGCTTCACTGCAGATGTTTAAGTTTGTTTGTGTACTAAAGTAAGTGTAATGCTAAACCTTGTTTAGCATTTTATTTTCAAATTTAATGTTTTTACTTTTCATAATTTTAAGCATTCATATATTAAAATATATTTTAATTTATTACATATATTAAAATAAAAATCTTTATAAATATATTTCAGTTTATTGTTAAAATATTTATCAGGTTATTTTCGAATCAGTTACAGTCCAAATTTAATCAAAAAGGAAATGGGGAAAAGATAAGCTTAGAAAATATAGTAAATATATGAAGTGTTTTACGAGGTATAGTTTTAATAGTATTTACAAAACTGATATCTGTATTAAAAAGATATTCTTCGACTTTTTTTGTGTCATGCTAGAATTTTTGTATCCATAATACAAGTTCCTTTAGTTTTTTCATAAAAAAATTGTTGTTTATTATTGTATCTGGTTGAGATACAAATCTTCTTGTTTATATATATATATATATATATATATATATATATATATATATATATATATATATATATATATATATATATATACACATGTATATATATATATATGTATATATATATATATATATATATATATATATATATATATATATATATATATGTACACATGTATATATATATATATATATATATATATATATATATATACACATGTATATATATATACACATGTATATATATATATATATATATATATATATATATATATATATATATATATATATATATATATATATTTATATATATGTGTATATACAGTATTGGACAAAACATTTGCAACCAACATCGAACAATGCTAAAAAGTGTTCCTAATTTTATGTCTTAAAAATGAAACGAACTATACTACCACAGCAAACAGTTCAGGAGTCTGGAGTCATAGCATGCCATGATATGAGCAATCAGCTGACAGGTGACAGCACACAGGCAGAATTTTGTTGACAAGTGCCATTTTGCAGCATACAAAACAAGTGCAACTTTTTTGGTTTATTTCATTTTCTCAAGTCTGGTCCTTGTCAACCTCACAGAAGTTTTTTAATATACCAATAAATAGGTTTTTCAGCAAGACAACGATCCCAAACACACTGCAAAATTAGTCAAGCAGTGGTTTCAAGACAACCATCTATTGGTGATAGATTGGCCGCCTCAATCTCCGGATCTCAACCCTATCAAGAACCTGTGGGAGATCGTTAACCGCAGAGTTAATCATGAATGTGTCCGTAATAAGGATTAACTGTTTGAACAAATCCAATAGGCCTAGGCAGCGATTCCACAAAGTTTCATTGATCACCTGATCGAATCTATCCCTTAAAGATGCAAGGCTGTGATTGACAACAAAGGATTCACCACAAAATATTGATAGCAAAATACAGCTTGGTCAACATTTTGTGGAGTTGCACTTGTTTTGTGCAGAAGGAAATCAATTTTTTTTAATTCTTTTGATTAATTTATTAATTTTCGTGTACAAATAATGAACTTTGTGATGAATAAAATTTGAAAAGCGTTGTCTCTAAACAGTTACATAGTTATTTCTCTAAATTGAAAAAATGCAGCCCTTTTATACAAAGAAACTAAATTAGCATCATTTGGTTGCACTGGTTTTGTTCGATACTGTATGTGTATATATATATATATATATATATATATATATATATATATATATATATATATATATATATATATATATATATATATATATAATATTTCATAAAAATAGATTCAGAATTCTACATGTCTTTTAAAGTCATTTAAATGTCATTAATGTATATATTTTAGATATCGGCGACGTGGAAGAAAATGTTGACGGCAATGCAGAAATATAGTTTCTTATGTATATTTTTGTGAAATAAAAATTAAGTAATGTTAGTTAAAATGTTTCTTTACTTATTTAATTTAATCTTTTTTTATGACTAATTTAACCGCTGTAACACCTTTGTATCAAACAAGTCCCAGCAAACAAAAAGATATCTAAAATGCGTCTAATATGCATCTAAAAACTGGTCTAAAAGACGTCTAAATTCACGTCGTGAACGGGACATAAATAGATGTCTATCTTATAGATGTCTTTTAGATGCATTTTATTCGACACAAATAAATGCCTTAGATGCATAAAAGATGTGAAATATACATTTAAAGATGTATATTAGATGTATATTAGATGCATAAAAGAGCTATTATTAGCTAAAAAATTATCTATTATCTATCTTTTTTAAACGGGCCTTAGACATCTATTTAAGAGACGTATTTTATACATCTAATATGCATCTGTAAGATGTATATTTTACATCTTTTATGCATCTAAGGCAATTATTTGTGTCGAATAAAATGCATCTAAAAGACGTCTATAAGATAGACGTCTATTTATGTCCCGTTCTAGACCTGAATTTAGACATCTTTTAGACCAGTTTTTAGATGCATATTAGATGCGTTTTAGATATCTTTTTGTTTGCTGGGATAGATCCTACTGGTAAGCTAATTCATATTCAAGATGATTTGTTCTTTTTATTTAAAAAAAATAAGTTTTATAAGGCTTTGTTTTTCAATAACAATTTAAAAAACTCGAAGCCTCGCCCGTTTGTTCCTTTAACTTAAAATAATATATTTCTGTTATAGATAATGGTATTTTGATTTCAAGCACATTTCTTAGTAATTATTAAATATGAAACATTTTCTTTTTAGAATTATTTATATACTTTTTTATATATGTTTCAGATGTGTGCTATATGTTAGATGTGTTATATATGTTTCAGAAGTGTGCACAGTTATTTCATATAATAGAATTAGTTTTGCAACGAGTTAAAAGAGTTGTAGATTTGTAGGGTTTTTTTTGGAATCAAATTAAAAAAAAAAACAATAGACATTTAATTTTTATTGTTTAAGTTTTGGTTTATTTAATAATGTTAATTTTTTTCCGTTACTGTGCATCTGCGCTTTTGTAAAAATTGGCTTCATTATTTTATCAGATTATCTTTAAAGATTAAAACGTAATACTTTATTTTTTATAGAACTAAAGAATCCTTATTCTCCAACTCCTACTGGTAAGTTTAATAACTTTTAAGATGATTTAAAAAGTCAATAATTAGTTAAAATAAATGTTAAAATTTTAAATTAAAACTTTCTCAAATTAATTAAAATTTTTAGGAAAAGGTTATTTTCAAATTATTAGTAAAAAACTACAACAAAAAAAGTACTTGACTAATTGAGTTTTTTCGTAGTTTTTTACCTAAAATTTCTCATATAGAAGGAATTTAGTAGAATTTGTTGGAATTTAGCCTATGTATTATTATGTTAGTATTTTAAATTGTTCTAGATTCTAAAGGTTTTTTTACAAAAATTTACGCTTACGATAAAATATATTCCCAGCAAACATTGTTTTAGTGGATTTGCAGTGAACCTATATAGGCATTTTTTAGAGGTTTGTTAGAGTTTTGCTCATCGGTTTCTTAGTAACCCAGAGCGATAAACCTAACAAATTTTAATAAGATTTCTTATTAAGAACCTTAGTAAGATTAGTGAAGATTGCAAGACGTGCAAGAAAACTAATAAGATCTTATTAAGATTTAAAAGTTTACGATCAATTTCTTGTTAAGATTTGTAAGATTTCATAAGATTATTTTATAATTATTTCAACCCCACTATATTTCACTCATTTTTTTACGTAGAGGTATAATATCTTACTAGCAGTAAGTAACCCGTAATACGGGTTAGTAGTAGATAAATCATTACTAACAATTTGATCTTTATTTACTTTCTCTAATAAAATATAAATTTATTTATACAATTTTTTAGTTGAGCTCACTTTTATTTTTCTTGGCTTCATAGTTTAAGAGAACTTCACTAGCTTCATTAAAGATAAAGTTAACCATTTCTTTTGCAATGTTCAGACATTGAATGCGCAAATCACAACCATGTAGTAGTTAAAAATGACTTGAATTATATGCACAGTATATCGCTGTCAAATTCCGTAAAATTGTTTAGGTAAATATTGGGAATATATTCAACTCTTAATTTTTCTTTAAGCTGAGTCGTTTCTTTTTTTTTTTAAACTTTTCATTTTACTGAGTAAAAAGCTTAAAAATACGTCACTATCGCACCTGAACTTTTTAGTGTTGTTATTGTACTTTTTAAATATTTTTAAAACATCTGAAATATTACACCCAAACTTGTAGGCATAGATGTTGGACATCCGGAAAAACTATAAGTTGAAAAATATATGGCAATTCTGAAAAGGGCTTAGGCCTGCATACAAATCCTATATTATTAAGAGAAAGATTATTATTAAACCAACCTTTTTTTAAAATAGTAATCCAGCAGAAACTTGTTTATAAAAAAACAATAAAGGAATATATAGATTTACTTTAATAGCTAACATGTTTCAACATATTTATTTCAGCATACATCCAATCCATATTTATACTAATTTTATAAAATGTCCGGAATACATTTTGCCTTAACTTGGCGTTAAATTATTAGTTTTATTTCATTCATTTTTGTATAGATCAGGTCAATAATAAAAGCAATTGGATTTTACTCAATATTTTTGAAGTAATTATTTAGCTTTAATAAAATTGATAAAATCATATAAGACAGTTAAAAAATATATTTAAATCTTTGTTCCCTTTTTGAAAATCCGTAAAAAAGCAAGTATCAAGTTTACATATCTTTAAAAGAAATTTATTTACATGATATATAGTTAAATATGTAACAAAAATATTTTAAAACAGAAGCATATATAAAACACATTTTTCTTAAAAAAACAAAGTTGAAGCCACCCATTTACAGCATCGAAGAGCCAAGCATAGCCTATTGTAAAGAAAACCATATCAAATAATTTAAAATATTTATTATCGATAGGGACGACAATTAAACATATTTAAAAGCAACGTGAGTAGGATTGTTACAGAAAGGTATATTAAAAAAGTATATTTAAAAAATATATTTAAAAAAAAGTGTATTAAATAGAAAACAGATTATTAAAAACTACCTAATTTTGTAAGCATTTTGCCAATGGTGTTCAATTTTGAAACCAATATCTTTAATGGAAAACCGACTTGTTTAACTAATCTCATTCAAAGAATTAAATTATTAACACTTAAAGATAAAGAAAAAAAAATGAATTAGATAAAAAACAATCGTACTATAGTATTATATAGATAAGTAGATATATATGAAAAAAAAACAACAACTGGAAAACAGTATACCTGCTTTTCGTTACCTATTGTGATACTGCAGCAGTTGCTGTAGGGATGCAGCTGTTCTTTTTGGTGTTGTTCAAAAACGTAATGTTTATGTTGGCTTTTAGTAAACTTTAGTTTAATTTAAAAGACATCCCAACGGGTTTAAAATACTAATAATAAAAAAAGCAAAACATAAAACGCTTCAAACTATAAACATAAAAGATGAAGAATCAAATCGAGATAAATAACGGATTTAAAATACTCATAATAAAAAAAGCAAAATATAAAATGCTCCAAACTATAAACATAAAAGATGAAAAATCGAATCGAGATAAATAAATTGTATTTAGATAGCTAAATATATTGCCTTGGGTTTTGGTAAATCTAAAAGCAGTGAGTTCAATAAATGAAACATACCAAATAATTGTTTTTAACAAAAGAATGCAGCATTATTATATTATGATGATTGGATAATGAATCAATTCAACTTTCGACTTTAGATTTTAGGAAGGGGTATTTAAGAGGGCTTTAAATTTAAAGTCAGGTTTAATTGGTGAGAAAATAATTTAAATTTTCATTAAAAAAGATTAAAACAAGTCAAATATACAACATAATATCTATTTAAAAAAGAATTACAAAATTAAAACTAATTACAAAATTAAAAAAAAAAACACCGAAGAAAAAGCAGCAGCCAAAAAGTAATAAATATCTCTACTGATAGAAGACATTTACAACCTTTTAGTTGCTGTGTTTTCTTCGGTGTCTCCCAACACCCCGGTATGAATGAGCCCTCCATTTAATGGAGGGCTCATCCATTCCGCCATTATCTTTCCATTTGTTGAAGGACCTCTCTGAGAGAGGTCCTGGGTGTTGAGAGCGGTAAGTTTTATATTCTTCGAATGATAAGGAATCTAAAGTTACAAATAGAAGAATATAATAAAAATTATACATTTGCAATTACTTAAAAAAAAAATTAGCATAACCTCACCATTTTTATTCGAAACAGAAGATGCTAAAATGCTATAAAAAGTAAAGACATTTTTACAACAGAAAACTTCAAGTAAAGACATTTTTACAACAGAAGCTGAGCGACCTTCTATAGCCGCCTTACGAATTTCTTCATCTTTTACTTTAGCCATGTTTTTAAATGCAAGAGCAAATGGACTTTGTTCCATAATTATAGTTTGCAATTGAAACATTAAATCACGTAAACAAAGATCATTACCATAGTGTTGCATTCTAAAATTTAGTGCAGCAAGTGGATCATAAATATATAGTTGCGAATATATTGGAAGAATATCTTGATCTGGCCTAAGATTACCTACACGATGAAAAATCTAACCACATATTTTAAAACATGGAAACCCATGGTTCATTGGTTAAACTACATTTGCTGTACATGAAGCTAAAGAAAGGCAGGCATTATAATTTTGAATATGCTTTAAAAAATTAGCATTAGCATTACGATCTACATAACTCCCTGTAAACAAATCCTGTAAAGCTTGTGTAATTGGTGAAAGTGGAGGCAAAGCTACCTTACCATTATGGCAACATAGAAAATGTGTTTCATCTGGAAGTTTCTAAGCATCACAGTGCCGACAAATTTGATTCATTTCTCTTAAATAATTATAATCTGGAATACCATTACTTCTCGCTATAGAATACATTCGTCTTTGTCCAACAGCTCTTTTTTCAT